TGAATATTATTTGTTTCTAATTTATACGAATCTAGTAAATTCGTTTGCCTGCTTACCTAATACAGCTAGTATAGTTAATGTTTGAGTGATGATATAAATCACCTCTAGTTTTATACCTTTTGTACCAACAGTAGAAATTTCATTAAATAAAGTCATTAAAGAATAATTCAAGCAATATACCAGCATTGCAGTTTTCCTCCCTCAGACTACATGAATCCGAAGGTAATTGCAATGTGGCATGGTAACTTTTCCTGAAAGCCAAGGGGCAAAATTAGGCGGTTAATGATTTACGACCAAGTAGAAGCAATATTTGTCAAGTTTTCAGCAATGATAAAAGAGCAGTGGAACTAAAATTTACCGTAAAAGTTTCGTTCTATTCGCATAGAAAGCATGTTAATTAAGCGAATGCGCAGTATATAAAATGTTATACAATTTCATTTGTGCAACAAGTGTATCAATATTATTCGACATAAAAGTAGATAAGGCCGCATTTTACCGCTTTTCTGGATATGGATGGTTTATAGTAGACATCGCTTCTTTAAATTTACAACCCAGTATTCACGTTCCGTCTTTCTCTCTCAAGGGTACATTTTGGTGATTGGTATACATCCAATACTCGAAGTGAATAAAGTAATAAACGAAGCAGAGTCGTATTAAAAATTCATTTGGCTTCGTCGTTATTTACATGTAACGCCCACTTCGGGCGCACAGCGCCACGGCCTCCATCAAGAAGATTTATTTTGAAAATATTAAATAAAAATTTAATCTTCATATTTAAATTTCCCTTCACGATTTTTAATTTGAGTTTATTACGAACACCTCACGCGAAATATCCACCGCGTATTTACTTAACGACAAAGGAAAAAATAATTCCGGGAATAAAGCTTTTGTATATTTCATTCCGGCCGTTCCAGTTGTGACATTAACAACATCTTCAACGTATATCAGGTGCTAAAGCAGAAAACGAAAAAGCTAAGAAATAATCCGTGCAAATGGCTTTTAGAAACGCAATTTTTCGACAAATCCCTAATACCGCTTACCCGTCCAAAGTCAGGGGTATTAGTCTTTTTTATTTCGCAAACACAAGGGTGAGCCAACTGAAAGGGGTTCTTTTGTACCTTTTAACCATCTAGAAAGAGAAAGATTTTGTATCAGCTTTTTGTGAAAAATTTATATGTACATATGTAACTGTTAGTAGGTACTTAGGTACCTACCTACTCTTCCTTTTGACGACTAAGGAGTTTAGAAACAACTTGAAAGTTTCTGTAAATATTCTTATTAATTTTTAATACCATTTTTAGAATAGTAATGTTCTTATGAGAAAATAACAACGTGCTTTTTTTAATTATTTACTGTTTATAAATGGTTATTTTCAAGAAAATAAATATATCTACTATCTTAAACTGCGCTATATTTTTCCTTTAACAAATAGAAATTCCAATAACGGCTATTGCATGATCTCTCGAAGGAACGGAAACGCCAAAAAGACAAATAACACCTAGCAAAAACATTCTACAGTAAAAAGACAGAAAGAATAAGATCTTAAACTTCAACTGAACTGGGAAGTTCTCGTCAAAATAAGACGCGGAACAACTTTAACCTGTTGGTTTTTAAATATTTAATACTCGCCCGTTGACAGGAAAAAGATATATGAATAAGGCTTTACGTGTAAGACGGATGGAGAAGAAAATTTAACTTTTTGTTGGGTGAATCGTTGTTTTGTGCACAACAAGAAATGTATACGAGTTGTTCAGAAAGAAATAGTAAATAAAAATACTCTACGTATCAATGATTTTATAATTTTTAAAATTCTCAAGCGTAATGATATTAAGTAATTACAGTGAAATACCGCCCTAATATTCAAGATTTGGCTTCCTTAATTGCCTAAACGAGCTATTTATCCTCAACAACATAATAGAACAATTGTTGCAATCGCACGTGCCTAAGATAAACCACATCTTCGGTAGTAATTTATAGAAAGCACAATTTATATTCCGATTTCAACTAAGGAACGGTAAAGAAGACGTATTTATTGCCGAGAGTAAAATATTCGCAGAAATTGTATAATGTTCTTGCGCGACTCCCAGATTTTATCGCGTTTCGCGGGACGATGTTATAATGGGAGGATCTGAAAGTTTGATATTTGAAGCGATAAAATGTGGAACGTCGGGATATATTTTGCACCCTTCGCGAATTTGCATTCGGAGAATTTGAATTACGAGATGAAAATAATCCTGTACAGGTACTTTTGATTTGAATAATTTCGTTAGGTAGCGGATGATGTTCGCTGATGAAGCTTTAAAATGACTAACTAATTATCTAATTTTACGGTAGATTCTTATTTACGTAAAGAGCCCTCATCAGTGAAGTAATATTTGAATTATTTATAAATTGTACTCAACGTAATATGAAATTCCCATTACCGAACGGCCATCATCCTTAAACTAGGGGGCGAGCAAATCCGGTTTGAAACTACACAGTAGTTGGAGCAGGAGGAGGAAGAATCGCTGAAAGCAGGACAGTGCACGAGAACGTTCATTACCGAGATATTTGAATAGTTTCCTCTGCATTAAAAATTCAGGAGCTAAAATTGTATTTGAATAGACCGTAGGCTCTTTCCAGCAATTAGTTTGAAGCAATGTCGCACAAACGGTAGGTAGGTAGGTATAATAGAGGGATAAAATCGCTGTGCCAAAAAGTTAAAATTTTAACTTTGCGGATCTCGATTAATGCTAAAAGCCTTTTAAAGTTAAATATTTTATACTGGTCTTTTTATTGCGGGTTTACATATACCAAACTCGAATTTCGCTTGCCTTTTTCCGTTAACATTTAAGTTGTATTGACATGGTAATATTACTAACCGTTAAAATTGTCGGTTTCGGCTCATTTAGGTCTAGATTTAAATGTAACACGATTGGACTAAATTGAAATTTATTTTGTGTGCGAGGCACGACTTGTTGCGTACTTTTCATAATAATTACGGAATTTTAAAATCGCTTTCCTGGAGCGTGCTAACACGTAACCGCCGGGTGAGCTAATTAATTTTTGATATGTCACAATTACGCCCAAGTGGTTTTAGAAGCCGTTAAATCATGAATAAAATAAAGGCAATTATTTCATATCGAAAAACCCGCTCGTTCAATTTCATTGTGTCGGTTCCCTCGGCGAATGGCGAATTAAAATACGCCAAGTTATAGAAGGATTTTCCGGATTCGAATAATGTTCGTTTGAATAAAATAAAAATCGAACTCTTTCTAGAAGACTTTATAATGACCGTTGTTGCTCGCAAAACTTATCCGTATGACCTACTTGCGATGCTCGCCCCTGCAATTTGCGCGGACAACGAGGACTGTCGTCTCGACGGGGAAACGGACCGTTAACAAATATAGGAAAGTTCGTCTTTTTATCGGAGAACTTTAACTTGGAACTTCTATCGAATTATATTCAAGAATCTATTTGTATTCGGCGTGATCATTATCGCTATATTTCTGCTGCTCACTGCAGTGTATTAGGATACTTACAAGCGCGCGAATTAAGTGCTTTATTCCGAAAATTGGAATGACCAATTCTGAAAATGGGTATAGCATTATGAAATTTATTAGGAATTTATTCAAATTGCGAGTCGACGAATAAGTCGGTTTTAATATTTAAGTCTGATAAATTACCCACCGTAAAACTATATAAGAAATATGGAATGTTGGAGAACAAAAGCCCGAGCACAATGGAATCTGATAAAGCTATTGTGGTATAATGGTTCATCAACATGACACTAACAGAATTGTTTAACTAGCTGACTTAACTCGAAATGTAGACCAAGTTTTTACAATTCGTATTCGTTCAACAAAAAATATTAATTAATTAATGATACAAAATTGAGCTTCGAGTGAAACACGCTACGTTAATAACACTAATTTGGTGTCTGCATTTTTTTGAGAGTATACCATCAGATCGGAGAACAAATACACTTCAACAGCGGATTATTTTCCACCTTCGTAAATTTACGCTCGCGTTTTTTCATTCCGACTGCATTCTCCGTCCATTCATCAACCTGTACGTTTAAGGCCCCAATCAATAGAGTTATGAGTTGCATTATCGTCACGTCCATCGACATCGCGCGAAAATCAATAATTGTACGAGTTGCCGAGCACAAAAAATTCACGCCTTTACGATGGTTTGGAAATTTTGTTCCCGAAAAGTGGGTTTTTGTAAATAGTCATAGAAAAAATTTGGTGAATGTGCATTTAACAATGAAACATCGAGAGAGTATAATAGTCTGGAGATTTCGGAGTTTTTCCACTTCAGCATAATTATTTGATGAAATTGAATAAATTTTATAAAGGCTGAACGCAGAATGTCCGTTGAATTGAAAAAGTTTTCATTCATTCGCGGTTTTATATTTCGATGTTATTTTGTAATTCGTAACAAAGGCTATACTTTATAATTATCCTGAAAAAATGTGACAACAATGATCATTAGGAAATTTTTATGGAACATTTTAATCAATACTTCTCTAAATTGAAGAAAGTTAAAGGGATGTTTGAAATAATAGAAATAATTCAAGAGTTGTGTATTTTCAAACGATGAATAAATGATAAATTTTTAGTTTTTACAAAAGACATTTGAAGAATAACCAAATTATGCATTAATAATGAAATTATATATTTTTTTTCATTTCGTTTGCATTGCGTTAAAAAATGTCATCTATACAATTATATTCCAATAAACTCGATTTCTATTAAATTGGCATAAATAAAGTGCATTTCTGTATTTCCCTTGTTTGTTTTTAATCGAAAATTGAATTCATCTCTTTGCGAGTTTTTCATTTCGCGATACGCTCAGTTCAGAACGAATCATTACATTACAACTATAACAAAATAAAAAATCGCACAAATAGAAAATTTAATAAAACTGTAGATACATGTTTCAAAAAGGTCCTCAAAATCAAATTGAAACGCCTCAACTAAACGGGCAGCTAACTGATATACCGTTTTTGATTTCAGCTGACAAACTTCCACCTGGCTTTCCGCAAATCACCCAATCGCCGACGATGAACAAAGTCGTGGAAATCGGCCACAATACCGTCCTAAAATGCGAGGCGACCGGTAATCCACCGCCGAAAATAACCTGGCTGAAAAATATGCTACCAATCAATATCAGCAGCGGTCGGATGAGGTATTCCATGAGGGACGACATGCCAGGTAAATTGGATACGGATTTGCTCATGTTTTATTTAGTTGTTCGGCATTAGCCGATTTGATATTCCTGACGCTTTTTGAATGCATTTTCGCGCTGTCAATTTTACGTGCACTTTCCAAAATAATTTATTCGGCGAGACGCCGAAATGAATTGACACTGTGCTGAATGTGTCATGCACAAATTAATTATAGATCTAACTCAAATGATTGGATACTGTTTATAGGTATGTCACCATTACATATCAACAATATCAAAAGACAAATATAATTTCTAATTTTACTACATATGATCGTTTTTAACCAAGCATCTCTTTAAAACATAGCGAGTTTTAAATGAAACAGTTTATTTAGACTTTATGTTGTGACAGTCTTAGTTGTGAAAATTTGCTCGTCTCGTGTATTAAAAGTATAAGAAGAAAATCAACGAAAGTTGGAAGTAAATTAACAAAAGTTTGTAAAGGTCACTGAGAGTTGAGTGAATTTCATGCCAATAAAAGTTGAGAGAACATCAATAAAACCAGCTATATATGTAGCTAGAAAATATCCGGCTTGCAAAAAATGATTATTGTTTATTGTCCTATTTCAGTTCAATCTTCAACCTAACGTCATTTATTTTATTCGATCGTGGCACTCGATATTTTAGCCTGTGATCGATTTAATATAGCGTTGGCAGCTTCAAAATAAATAATATACTGCTTTTAGCTTTTAGTAGAAGTCGCGAACGTTCGTTTAATACATATTTAATACTGTCAAACCTTTTTTCAAATTAATGCGGTATTAATGTTAATTTGGCGTCTAATAGCCGCGTTTCACGCAACAAGTTTCGGCTCAAAACGCCTTGTTGACGATTTTTCGAACACACAGTGCACGTAAAAATCGAACATAATCCCCCGATATTTCCTCATAGCCTGTATTCGGATGCGCAAAACTTTCTAAAGTGGATGTTCGATATTTCTCGATGGTTAAAAATAAGCCTTATTGGGATTGAAAGTTGATTTTAAATTGTACAGATGAGTGACGGCTCCGCGCGGGATTTCAAACTCGGATTTCTAACGTTCGAAGCGTTCGATAATGGCCATCGTGAATATTTCATTGCATTTGGAGAAAAAAACGAGAATTGTATTATGCTGTTTTGTGGAAATTCTATCTCCGCTGAATCTGTCCTTTTTTTGAATAATAAGATTAAAAGCATTAAATTCGAGAAAGAATTGGCTGAGGTTTTCAACAGAAGTGCCGAGAATATTTCTTTTGGAAAAGGAAAAAATATTTTTATACAGTTTACTATTTCCCGTGTAATTGTCGTTGAAATTTCCGGCGACGTTTTTCGATATATCCACTCTGACAGTCGAGTATCTATTGGCCATTTTTCCGGTTACCGCTCGACTTCTTTCCGGAGAACGCGTCGTTGTCCAGGTCATCGAAAGGTCTCTCCGGCTACGTATCCAGGTAACGCAAGATGCCGGCGTAGTGGTTCCCTGGGGCACAGTGCGGTTAGTTGTCCGGAATATGGGGTTTTCCTTTCTCTCCATAACAATCGTTATTATCACGCGTTTCACGTTGGACGCGGCCATACGATACCGGAATTTCGTTAATGCGATAATCCTGTTACTTTTCTTTGCGCGATATAATGGGTATCAAGAGCGGAGGAGGATTGCTTCGGAAATTTGTTTTGTTTGAAGGATAAAATTGTTGAAATTTTACAAACTTTTATACAGCTTTTCGGTAAAAATCGTTTTTACGCTGACGCTGAATTATTCCTCTTTTAATCGCAATGAAATACCGACAGTCATTCGAAAAATGTACCGTTGTAAATTTTTCATTTCGCGGTACTTTTTAATCAACTATAGCCGATACGTAAAAAATGGCACAAATAAAACGACCATCCGCAAAAATAACATCGACGGCCAATTTCGAGCATTAAAGACAAATACGTCGACATTTGGTTTTTCGGAATTGCATATCTACAAATACGCCGTTTGAAAAAAATCGAGAACTTTTCTTTGTTATCGATGCCGGTTAAAATGTGTACATATTGGAGTTGTTTACTAGATGTTATCTGGCTATGAAACTGACCGGACAAACTGAAACAACAAAACTATGTAAACATTTTTTATTGATCACTTTCCCAATGGTATCAAATAACCTAGCCGGAGGGGTACATCAAACTATGAAAAAATTTAACTATCTATTCATTAATACCGAATAATATGAACAATTAATAGTAATAGATACTATAGGTACATTCTTAACTAACTATAAGTATCTGATGAATTCTTAAGCTCCTAAAGCGAGCCAGTTGGCTCAAGAATGTTTTTAATGGACCAAAATAAAAATCACTACAAGTCCATCAAATTCACAATCCTTTAAGATAATACATTAATAGTGTCGATATTTTTGATTTATTATACTGGGAAATTTAGGAAATTTTTGCAGTATCTAATGCACTATACGGCGATAGCCATCATTTACGTCCGGCCACAAACCGGCGGCTGAATATGCGGAGGAAATGCAATGGGAAATATGTATAGAGTTGATGGATCCATTCGATCTTTTTTAGAGTTAATAACATTAGTAAAAATGCAAATAGGCGACCGACGTTCGCGCTCCAGCTCGCGTATAATAATTGTTTCGGAGTTGAATGCCTTTTTTAATGGGCCTTTCGTTGTACGATCACCCAAAAAATTTTAGTGGTTAGCGTTCCGTTTTCGGCGTCATTAAAATGTTTAAAAAAACTTAATGCTCTTTTTTTATTCGCGTTTACGTGTTAAATTTAATCATTCTGTTGTTTTTAATATGAAAAGCTTGTTATAATTTGGGAATAAAAACTTTTACTTTGTGTTTTGTAAATCTAATTGGTGGATGTTCTAGTGCTAGTGTATTGATTCCAATATTTAAATTAAAAATTTAGTGGAGGAAATACACCGGAGAAATTCGTTTCACAATGTTCATTTAATAATGTAGCAGTTAATATAAAATTTTTACCTAATTTTAAAAGTTTCATAGCGAAACATCTAACTTTATCAACTCGTCGGTAGCGCAATTTCATTAGCGTTTATTTCGGACGTAAATGTAAAAATATCATACCATTTTCGTAACTCACTGAAAAGACGTCGTCAGCAGAGAAGTTCCGCAAAAGGGTTTCGGGTATTATTTTCATTAAAACCTCTAAGGAAGTTTCTGTTATTCATATTTTCCGACCCCTCTTTCGGCGGGTCGAATTAGAATTCATTCAGGACGTTACAAAAAATTTCCCTTTAAATAAGATCGTAATTTCGCTTAGATGATATTTTTTTCGTTGTTTTTAGTAAAACGCAACGTCGAAGACACGCTCACGAGGGTGTGTAGAGGTTGAGTTGTGAATCTCAGTTGACTCTTTAATAAGAGTTAGGTGTACTAGGTAGGTATCTGGTCGCTCCGTTTAATGTTGCTAAACTTGGCTTCGTGGGAGTTATTTAATAAAGAAGTTTGTATAAGGCGCACTGGGAGCATGAAATAGATGTGAAGAGACTGTTTATAGAGAGAACATATTAGATTTTCTTGCCATTAATTCTAACAACTTTCAAACAAAATTCCTTAGGTTATTTTTTAATAAAAAGTTTGTTTAGGGTTCGTTAACAACGTTAGAAAATTCAGTAATTTATTAGTTTACCTAGTTAGGGCAATAGTCTCGACATATTCTGTATAAATTTAATGAGAAATAAATCGGAAGACTTAATGCTAATTTATTTGCCGGCAGATTCTTTTCTATGCAAACGAGAGCGGCTTACGAACGCAATTAATGAATTTCTGTATTCAATTTGTATTGTGCCGGATTTCGCTCTTCTTCTCGAACAAGAAGTCGTGAATTCTTAATTTCCGCGTTAAATGAACTTAACTTCTGTCTTGTCAGTTTAATCTGTGTTCGAAATCCGCTCTGGGCAATTTCGACTATGTTGAATAGACGTTCGGAAAAAGGAAAAACGCCCTTCAAAAGGCCGCGTGTCCCGATCTGAATTGTCTAAATTATTTCGCAACAATTGTTCGCCGGAGCTTTTAGAGTTCGTAATAAGTACAAGCTTTTATTTAACTTTGAAATCGCCGGAATGCCGACGGTAGCCGAGAAAGAGGAGGTTCGCAGTTTCGAAAAGATTAAGAAAGCGAGAATTAACAAATTCCTGCAACTCGTATTATTTCAATGTTATAATAGGACCGGCGACGCGATAATAACGATTGTCAGACACCGGAGGAAAGCTGATAGTCCCCGCACTAACCTAATGATCCCGGGGGAACCGTACCGCTGGCTGCCGGAAACACGGACTCGGCCACTCTGGGAATACACACAAAACAGCCCACTCTACGGGAAACTACGCGAAATTGTGGAAGGAAAAAGGAAATGTGTCATAATGGTTGAGCGACAATGGAAAATTCTACTGAGGGCTGTTTTCACGAAGACCGACATGAATCGGTTTTTGGATTGAAAATGCTCCTTTCGTTCTTCAAAGCGACCAATCGATTTTCCTACAGTACGGCTTTAATGCGAATCTATATTCAAAAACGTATTTTCATTTAATTTTCATCCATTTTGCATGACTAAATTCGAATTAAATGCTATACAATTTAAACCAAATAAGCAGAAATTAGCTGAAAGATCGCTAAAATAGATCAAAATTAGAGGCAATAATAATCCTTTATTCTAATAGAATTATTTATACCAAGAGAGAATCATCTGTGCGCTTAGGAGATAATATAATACAACTTATTAGTCTAAATTAAATGCCATTTAATTGTATTCGAAGCATCCTTGAAAGGTTAAGGTACAAAAGAAGAATGGGATGCTGAAACAACGGCGGGTTTCGTTTTAACGAATAATTTTTGCGAATTGTTTCTAAAATTCCGGCGTAACTTTTCGTTTTAACGTTAGAAAACATTGCCCGAAGCGAAACGCCGCGATCCGATAATGAATACTTATAACATTCTTCTTGTATTATGTTGATTTGCAACTTGGGGCGAGGAACGTCCAAAAAGGAGGAAATTTCCAAGTATTTTGTCCGAAGTTATAAGTAATTAGTTGCTAATTAATTGGAATAAACATTTCGTTCTTTGTGTAGGTACCTCTCGAAAAGAGTTACTCGGAAAGGCGAATTCGTTAAGACGGCATAATAATGGGATGTAATTTTAATGATCAATTAAATCTAAAAGGAGCATTATTTGAGATATTAGGCAAATTTTTGTTTTAGCCGATTTAGGTTCTGAACTCGAGATTGAGTTCGTAATAAATCGTTAAAATCTAAAATTTATCCGCAATGAAGTCGATAATATCAAAAATATGTAGAATCAAATTTTCAGATAATAAAGGTGCGGCGGAGTTCTAAAAAGAAAATATTATTCACTCTTCTGGCTTGTTACCAACGTGAATTATGATTCGGTCCGTATACGTTCATAAACTAGGTGTCTTTCTGGAAAGATATATTGCCTCCTCGAATTCAAATTTGCATTACATAAACCAACGCTATTATACTTTACTTATAACAATATTAATCGATTAAGAAAGTGCCCGACTTTTCCGAGGATTTAGCATTCTTGTTTTAAAATACACCGCTACATTTATTTGTAATAACGTTCTTATTTTCAGGAGCACTTCAAATCCTCTCGAGCGAAGAAAAGGATCACGGCAAGTATGAATGCGTCGCCGAAAATTCGATTGGAACGGATTATTCCAAACATTCCCTGCTCTACGTTAAAGGTAAGAAGGATGTGCTTGATTATTTTAGACGGAGGGTGGCGCAAATTCAAATTATATCTTCGAATGAACCGAAATTAAGCTCTTTATACAGCGCGCGTTTGGTTGGAAAAATGAAGATGCAAAATTATAAAGTAACTAATACACGCAGTCAATTCAAATCGAATGAGCTTAAATAAAAGTTGGGAGAAAATTATATTAAACCCAACCGGGGTTTTGCAAGCTTAACTAAAATATATTACATTAAAACAAGGTCTCTAACTTCTAGGATTATAAGCTTTCTGGTTTTGTGCCGGGAAAACTGCGTCGCTTCTGGATTATTCTGAAAATTCAAAAAACAAACTCACGTAAATCGTATATACCTTGTCCCACAGGTTATACAAATTCGCATTAATAATAGCATAAGAGACATTCGCGTTAATACCGAAGACTTGTATTCGGACCATCCATTAGAATTAACGTCGAATGATAAATTTATATATGGGATACGGTGGACGTAGTGTCAAAATAGAACATTTATCAAAATTGAGACTCGTCGACTGGTTGGCTACATTGTACATCATTTGGTTATATTCGCTGACCGAAATCACGTTTGCTTATACACATAATAGAATGGGATTATGCATGAAATGAACTGAACGGGATCAACCAATCAGTGATTTTAATCTGAATAAACCCTCGTAAAGACCTCACTGTAAGATTAATAGAGCGTGAACCAATTAACTTTTTAATTATTTGTAAACAGGCCGTTTGATTGAATTTAACGAAATCGGGAGAGCATGTGTGGTTAAACCATTTCTCGTTAGATCTATCTCTCATTTAAAAAGGATACAAAAAATATTGATGTGCAATAAAATTTCAATTAAATCTCTTTAAAATTCACACTGCTATATTTTCAAACATTGTGTACGAATTTACAAATACCTTTTAAACATTTACCTTTCATAACAGGAATATTTTCGGATATGAATCTAATAAACGGAATTCCTCGTGTATATTTTACGAATTAATTGCGAAGGAAGGGTTAAAAGAAAAGCGGACAATGAAAAAACCCCGAACGTACTTCATCATGTCGGGAGTATGTAGCGGATTTAACGGACTTTCCAATCATCGAAAGCCAATAACAAAATGTTGGACGGGCCCGGAATATTTCTGCGGGAGAGAAATTCGGTGGAGAATCCACGCACTCGACGATAAATATCTCGGTGTATTCCGTACAGCCGACAAATAAATTCGAAATTTCATGAAGATTGCCGTTTTCCCGGACGGGATATTAATTTTTGCCTTGGGCTCACTCATCCATTTTTGAAAGCAACGTCGGAACAAAAGAATTCCATTTGGTATATTACACACACGTACGCCGTTTTAATCTATTATTAATGTAGGAAACGTTGAAAGCTCGTCTTTTTTATGCATACGGAAGGTATTAAAGTTTCAAAATTTGCGCAATATATACGTATATACCTCGCATATCCAAATGAAATTGAGTTAAGGAAGTTGCGCGGTTTTTTTAATTTAGAAATTGTATTTTCTTGATGTTCATTGCTTATCAGAGCGATGTTTTTTATGCATAAGGTTTTGGGAGATGTTATATTTTAAAATAAATATACAGATAGGTGCAAATTTGTTTGCAATAGGGTAAATCAATGAGTTGAACAAATACTGACACTCCAGAACCATTAATAAAGTTCCGGAGTCATTTACAACTCTCTATAACCATTTAGACCGTTCCAGAAACATTTAGAAGGCTCCAGAACCATTTAGAACGTTCCAAGTTCATTTAGTACACTTCGCAGAACAATTTAGAACGCTGCAGAATTATTTAGAACTGTCTAGAATCATTTAGAGTGCTCCAGAATCCATAGACCATATTGCGTACAAACTTGCACTCATCTGTATACTGCTACTCTGCAAACGCATTATTTTTCTACATTGCAAAATTTTTCAATCCATTATATAATTTATTGTTTCATATTGCGCGCCGCATCGACGGTTTATATTTATTTTATGAGAAATGAAAATCACTTATCGGCCGGCCGTTTCAAAATTCAAAAATATATTAGCTCTTATCTGAATGGGCGAATGCGCGCTTTTTACTCGAATAAACGGTTACCGCTGGCGATTATTCAGCCGAAATAGTATCGGCGTTTTGTGAAATAACCGAGAGAAAATTGATTTAGGTGAAGTATATATTTTTTTTTGCCCGTAGTGCGGCGGGTCCCGCCTCAATTTTCCATACCGCCGCCCAACATGAGCGAGGTGAAATTAGGCGATGATTTAAACTTGACGTGCGTCGCCGTGGGTTCCCCGATGCCTTTCGTCAAGTGGCGCAAGGGCCTCACGCAGGAATTAACGCCCGAAGATAAATTACCCGTTGGAAAGAACACGCTGGAGCTCACCAACATCCAGGAATCGGCCAACTACACCTGCATAGCCGCCAGTGCTCTGGGCGTCATCGAGGCCTTGGCCCAAGTCAGGGTACAATGTATGTATTACTATTAACTCTTTTTACCTAAATTGTACTTTTAAATCCGCAGTAACTTTTTTATTACGCATAAACTCTGAAATTTGGAGTACAATTGACCATACGCCAAATAGGTAAAGGCCATTTTGTAATAAAGAAGAAATTGACAACGACTAGTTCCGTGTCAGTTTCGATTATTTTGAATCGATTCTCTTCGAGCGTGAAAGTTTCTCGATATCAAGTTGCATCTATCTTTGTTTTGCTTTTTAATGAGATGTACGAAGATCTCTCTCGTTTCGCTCTTACGATTCTTACGAAACAGAAACAGATTCCGTGTTGTTTGTGTATTGTTGAGTCGCGTAACGTAAGTCGCGTCGTATTTGTATTTAGGGTTGTGGTTGGTTCAACTTGTTGACGACTTGATTTAGTTCGTAAACAAATTTTACGAAAGGATGAATAAAATTAAAACGGAAAACAATACTGTGTACATAGGAAAAGTGTAGCTATGCTCGCTCTGTCGCCGAAAGTTTCCTTTGTTAGTGAAAAACTTGCGTGTTTTGAGTGCTATTTTTGTGTCAAATAAGTTCGTTAAGTTGCGAGAAAAAGTGCCATTATGTTGTTTATTTTCGTCGTTATCGCATTACCCTTGGCTTCAGCCCTAAGTATGTGGTTTTGTCTCGATTGTTTTGATAGAAATTCATCGGTTATGCACTTTTCGCAGTTCTTTTTCTGTTCTATTTTGAGATAAAATTATCTCGGGTTCAGCATGCTCGGGAGCACTGACATCACTTCACAACAAAAATAGAAAACTCGGGGAAAAGTTCTGTTTTTGTACCCAAATTAAGTTGATAATTGTAGAATATTCCAACAATAAGATACTTCTCTACTTGGAATACCTGTTTTAATTTCTGCATTTTTATACACCCACACACATTCTTACTCTTGTTTCTTTTACCTATGTTGGGTATAATTAATGTGTCAAGTGTTAAAGTAACTATATACTTAGAACGTATAATTTATAACACTAGTTCGAGTCTCTTAATATTTATGTAATTTCTAAAGAACTTGCAAGAACATCCATGTGAAATTTTGAACAATTAACATATTACTTTCATAACAATAAATTCATTAAGAACGTTTTTATTTCAGCATTGCCGGGGCCCCCGAAGAACGTAAAAGTATCAGAAATAACGGCTACGTCTGTCAGATTGACTTGGTCGTACAATGGCCCCGAAGACATACAGTATTATGTCATACAATTCAAGCCGAAGTACGCCAATCAGGCTTACAGCGAAATCAGCGGCATCATCACCATGTACTATTCGGTGACGAGTTTGAGCCCCTATACCGAGTACGAAATGTACGTGATCGCTGTGAACAACATAGGAAGGGGACCGACCAGTGCACCGGCCGTAGTCACTACAGGAGAAACAGGTAATCTTCGTTTTTATTAGGCCAGAACTAGCCTAATACATTTTGTTGTAATGTAATATCCAAGTACTTGTATTTCGCTTAGGTGTAGACTTGAGCTGGGATTTTAAATAATACTGTACATAATTTAATCTAATTTAATTCCTTGAATATTTTTCATGCTTGCGATGTTTTAAAAATATTTTACATGGATGAAATTATCGTTAACGTAAGTATATTATTTACATGGTTTAAATTTTAAGATGACAATAATCATTCGTTAATTAATTAGTACTAATTAGTACTTTCTAAATTTTAAATGAACATTACAATTAAAGTTGTTGCAGATAAAATAACTGTTAATTTTTTATTTGTTGTTCGACAGTTTCAATTAGTTGTAAATGTTGTAATAGTTATTTTATAATGTTCAATCAAGCATTAAAATGCCATTTAATTATTTCCTGATAAACATGTAATTTATAAAACATGTGTTTTTTGCTTCTAGCTTTTTCTTCTCTTGGAGGTGCTAGTAAGTTTCTTTAAATTTATGCAAAAATGTTATGATATTGGTTGACTATTAATTTACCTTAGCATTTTTTTAAATAGAAACCAGTATTATAAATACATTGCATATTGTTTTTCTTGTACGTAACACGATACATAAGCAACTTTAAAAGCCTGTCATTTGTGTAAAAAAGGGGCCACATCTTTTTCACAATGTAAATTAATTTAACGTATTCATCTGGTCCAAATTAAATTGGGAATCGCTAAAATAAGTATGCTGTTAATTTTACATGTTCATGTTAAGATTGTCTTTATAAAGAATCAACAAACATCTGTTTGAACAGAGCACATGTATACGTTTTTAATTACTGCTTTGCCTTTATACAAACAAAATTATCCAAATAGTGATTTATCATCATGTGTTCTTCTTTTGTAAAAAAAAGTTTTGCTATTTTGTGTAATTGTAATCGAAAACAAGAAGACTAATTTCCCTAGAAACAAATCCGTTTTCAAAGAATTTAGTAGAGTAAAAGTAGTTTGATCGATCACACGCCATAACTAATACGATAAAATAGATTCATAAATCGTTTCATTGTCTTTGAGATCATTTGCATAACTCCATAACGATGCAAAAACAATTTGCAACGAATTTTTATATTAATTCTTAATTGTGACTCATGTTAAAAGTCGCTATTCAATGTAGGGTCAGATCATTGTTATCTGCTATTTTTCTTGGAAAATATCAATATGCACAAGTACTTATTATGTTACAATAACGCGTAATCGACGCATTTGAATACAATGGACCACAAATAATTGAAATCGCCATTTAATTTGAATTGCATTTTTGACAAAATCATATTATAAAAGCACGATTTATTAGCCAATGCTTTAGTTTTAAATGTAACTGATCCTTTTAGTATAAATTCAATTAAACATTTTGAAAGGAATCCAAATTGGTGGACCCACGTTAAATGAGTTAACTGTTGAATGCGAAGTTAACTGTTGAATATTTTAAAATATTGATTAGGCTTACAACAGAACTCGAGAACGCCTCCCAAATTCTATATTATTCAATACATCGAGTACTCGTGAATTAGTAATGATTTAAGATGTCGATTTACTTCCCATGCATTTCCACTTTAAAATCCTTCATTTTTGGGCTCAAACAAGCTTTTAAAGTTAGCCGATTTTTATAATAACAAGCTGGAATAGTGTTTAAATATATTATTTGTTGTTGTAGAACCTGGGACGGCTCCTAGAAATGTTCAAGTGCGACCATTGAGCTCCAGTACAATGGTAATACAATGGGATGAGCCGGAGACACCTAACGGGCAAGTTACCGTAAGTAACCTTACTATTAAATCTAGTGGATTACCTTCTAAATTGGGCATTTTTGTAGGGTTATAAAGTGTATTACACAACAAACGCCCAGCAACCGATGGCTCAATGGGAATCCCAAGTAGTCGATAACAATCAATTGACAACAATCAGTGAGTTGACACCTCACACTATTTACACGATACGAGTTCAGGCGTATACTTCCGTGGGTCCTGGACCTCTGAGCGCCCCGGTTCACGTTAAAACTCAACAGGGTTCGTACATAAACCGATTACTATCGGTCAAATTGGTGATTTAATATCATATGCTGCTTTATTTAGGTGTTCCGAGCCAACCGAGCAACCTTCGCACATCAGATATAGGCGAAACTTCCGTGACCCTTCAATGGACGAAGCCGAGTCATTCCGGCGAAAATATAGTTAGTTATGAGTTGTATTGGAACGATACATACGCTAAAGAAAAGCACCACAGGCGCATACCCATATCGGAGACTTACACCCTAACGGGTCTCTATCCGAACACGTTGTATTACGTGTGGCTGGCGGCCAGATCGCAAAGGGGCGAAGGGGCCACCACTCCTCCGATACCAGTTAGAACGAAGCAATATGGTAAGATCTAAATTGCGACGAGAATCATAGCGAGTTGTAACGACTGGGTTTTTTTTTAACTTCTAAATAATGACTTACTTTTGTGTAGTAGTTGTTGATTTTCGAAGAAACAATGGAAAATGGTATAAATTTGATTGGATTTTTTCAAAATTTTTTGATTTTGTCGATCATCTTCAGTAGAGTAAGTGAAAAATGGGTTTCGAACAACCGTCTCTAACATTAACACGACTACTAAAAAAGAATTTTATAATTGAAGAGCTTGTATTTACTCTAATTGTGCCATTATTTATCCATTAAGTTGTCATTTCGAACAACCGCATCGCGTGAAATGCTCCCTAATTTTTCACTTACTTATTCAAACATTTAATCACATTACACCATACCCGTACAATGTGGTGTAGGTGTCATACCGATGTACGTTATTTATTTTTCAATCGTTTATTAATTTTTCACCCATTTCATGGATCGATTCGTCTATTATGTTTCTGTTTTTTTTTGAGGTGTGTAAGTTTTCACTAATGCCGTTTTACTTTTGGAATGTGTGAGGTGTGTGAGATATTTTTGTGTATGCATTTTTGCATGTACTTTTAGATTTCAGTGGATATTAATTTTAAGTTTATCAGCACCGCATATCACATGATGAAACTTAGTTTGTGGATCAAATTCTTTTTTTTTTATTGGCTATTATAGCAAAATGGGAAAAATTTCGTTTATAGTGTTAATTATTCCTAACATTTATATTTTTTCCATTTTGTAGCATTTTATTGGATATACAATGGTAAGGTGAAAAGTTCTCGGCCCGACAATAAAAGACCCCGATTTTCAGTTTCAAAAATTACATTGTTTATCTTATTAAGTAAAAATCTTTAGTTCGAGACAAATGATTCTGGATCGGTCTAGATTGTTCTAGATAGTTCTGATTTGTTCTTGAGCGTTTTAAATGATTCTAGACAATTTTAAAAGATTCTGGAACGTTCTAAATGGTTCCAGTCAGTTCTAAGTGAATCTGGTGCGTTCTAAATGGTTTTATACTGTTCTTTACTGTTCTAAATGATTCTGAAGTATTCTAAAAGACTATGGAACGTTATAAACGATTCTGAAGCGTTCTAAAAGACTATGGAACGTTATAAACGATTCTGCAGCGTTCTAAATGGTTTTAGATAGTTCTAAATGATTATGCTGCATTCTAAATGATTCTGGAGCGTTCTAGATGGTTCTAGACAGTTTTAAACGATTCTTGAGCGTTCCAAATGGTTTTAGACAGTTCTAAATGATTTTGGAGCGTTCTAGATTGTTCTAGACAGTTCTAAACAATTCTGGAGCGTTCTAAATTGTTTTAGACGAATCTAAATGATACAGACCGAGAACTTTTCACCCTACCCACGTATTAGCACATTTTATTTTAATTTCTTCCTCACGGTAACGTAGTTTGGCAATCAATCACGCAATTATCTTTAATATCCACTCGAAGCGTTTCAAAACCGACTAAAGAGTAAGTCTATAGTAGTTAAAAAAATTGATCGAAAACAAACCAAAACAAAAAAAAAGAAACTGTTTGGCTTGGCTTTTGAAATTTAACGCTGACACGCCGTCTTAGTACCCGGAGCACCTCCGACCAACGTTATCGGCGAGGCGGTAAGTCCCACGGCGATCCGGGTGACATGGGATCCGCCGCCGGCGAATCGCACCAACGGCAATATCATTTACTACAAGCTGCAATTCGTTGAATCGGACAGATCGGATAGCGAGGCGAGCATTATCAAATTTAATGGTACTAGTATCGTGCTCGATGAGCTAAAAAGATGGACGACGTACAGGATATGGGTGTTGGCGGGTACCTCCGTCGGAGATGGTCCCAGTTCGTATCCGATTACGGTGCGAACACACGAAGATGGTACGTCTTAAGTCTCAATTAAAGGTTACGGGAAATATATTTTTTTTTTATAAAAAAAGTTTTTGGGGGTTGGTTGGTTTCGGTTGCACTATTGTGTAATTTTTTTATCTTCATTTTTGGTACGTGATCTGTTGTTGAATATTATTGTGTACTATTAGTAATGGAGGAGACAAGTAGATGGAGAGGGAATATACATTTAATGACATATGGGACATACATGACATAATAATTATCAGAAAAAGCGATTTTTGTCACCAAAAAGAGACATTTTTTATTGATAATACTGTACAAATATCACTTCAGTCAAAACATTTTCATTTCTTCTACACATTCATATACATACATGTAATTTTTTTCAATGATCATGTACCAAAAGTGTTTGAAATTTTTGGGAATATGGTATATTATGTACATGTTTGGGCTTTTTTGTTTTTTTTTTTGGAAGTTATGTAATTTTATTATAGCCCAAACATGTACGTTTTACGTAACAAACTTCGTTTAAAGAAATTGACAGTAGGTTGTAAAAAAATCACATATTTATTAAATAATCCTATATAATGATTTGAAGTACGTTAACTGCAATTTCAGTCAGTTTAACTGGCTACTCCATCTTTTCTAAAAAAAATATCAATTCAACAGTATTATTTTCGTTGTTTAATTCCTCTGTCCTGTTTTGTATTCCCGTCGATATTTATTTTGATCCCTTTTTTTCTTTTAATAATTTTAATTTCTCGTAATCTCGTACTACTTTTTGACATATCCTTAGTGATATGTGTGACTTATAACGTATTTTTTTCACCATTGCAGCTCGCCAAACGAAGGATTTTTTCGATACATTTTTTATGTATTTTTGTGATTTTTACAGCTCTCTTGCACCTCAATTTTTTTGAGGGGGAGTATTTTGAATGTTTTACGTTCGATGCATTTCAAATTGCAATAAAACGGTTATTTTTAAATTGGCGTTTTATCGCACATTTGAGTTGCGTCGGCGATTTTTGATATATTTTTCTGTCTACAAAAGCGTTTGCAGGAGAATGGAAACAAAGGTTTTTTTTTGTTTCGAGAGACATTTTTTTGATGTATCGGTATATTTTTAAAAATTTAAATAGTTGTATCTTTATTTATTGTTGTAATTGTTACTTACTTAGCTACTCACGTTCACATGTAATGATTGCTTTTTTGATTATCACTCGCACCAAGTCGCATATTGCAATGGCACAATTTTTTTTAAGTCACAATCGGCACCATTTTTCTCTTATTTTCGTTTAATTGTTTTATTTTTCAGCACTAATACTGGTATATTTAGATGAAGAATTAACGTTGAATGGAATTTCGTATTTTCAGTCAAGAAAATGATGCTACGAGATATCTGGTTAACTTATTGGAAATTTATTAGAATCGTTTTCTTGCTGGAAATGAAATTTTATTTAATGACCTATTTCACAATAGCATGTTTTACCTATTTACCTTTATGTGTCCGATTAGATTTTTACTATTGGAAATCTACTCCAAATAATTATAACTGAATTGATTTTACAATCCTTTAATTTACGATACAATTATTTTGTTTACTATTTTGCCGGTTTTATATTCGGCTATCTAGTATTACAATTCGCTTTTATTGTTGAAGTTGAACATCAATACAGTTGTATTTTATTTCTGTTATTTCCAATAGTACATTCGTGTAGAAAAACAAAAATTATCCTAATCGTCCTAATTCCTGTCCTTTTATTTATTTTTGAAGCTAATCAGCACCTCACTCACAGTAGGTGAATTGCGGCACTTTTATAATCACATTTTTGAGTGTACTTTTTCACAAAATGCACCTTTTTGAGTGTGGTTGTGTGATTGTGTTGAAATAAAATAGTATATTGAACATATTAAACACATTCCAACAAAAAAGAAATTGGATTTTTCGGTCGAATTCGTTATAAATCAAACCCATCGATTCTGAGAAGATACCTACATCAATACTCACTAATATAAATTAAATTTTTATTGGAAATTCTTTACGGTTAAAAATGTTTCGAAAATTTTATACGGATGTTTTCGCAACATTTTTCGATTTGATTATTTCTTTCAAATTCGCAGACCCAGTTACTAATTTGGCATTTAGTGATCTAACATTTCGCATTTGAATACCAATACTAACAGTAGTTCTGTAGTACACTAATATACAGTAGCATGAAATTAAAAAAACAAAAAACAGTAAAATAAATAATTTTCTAAAAAAAACATTATTTAAAGTGCATGGTTTTCATCAGAACATTCCCCTTAGCTCCTTAGAAAATGCAAATTTTTTTATCACCTTCTGGAAAGTCGGGATATTTTTTACAAAGAATTTACAAATATCAAAGTTTTATCTACTTCGTGTTCGCATTCTTCTGAACTTTATTAATCATCAACAAAAAACATTTTGAATATATGTGTGCCTAAAGCAATTAGATGTTGTAGATATTTGATTTTTTTTAATATTCACAGGTGAGGAGAGGGACGCCCACTTTGTGTATAACCACTAACATATTTTTGTGAATCCCCGAAAAATGGTGATGATTTTAAAAGCGTTGGTTGTATATTTTTTTCATGCCCTACTCGAATTATGCATATAACTGACTAATTTTTCATACATTTTTAACAAGCCGACACATTTTTGATATTTTTGAATCAATACATGTGTGTGAGTATTTTTTTGAGCCTCCAAGCATTTTTGTAGCGGAGTACATTTTTGATATTTTTTCGTAAAAGGTAATTGAATGGTAATTACAATTTGGTATTTTTTCCTTAAACTAATGCTTAACATTGGTCCTTCAGTTGCTCGAAGTGAGTACCGTTTTGTCTGTTTATTTTATGGTAGTAGTACAAGTTAGGCAATCAGTAGAGATTTCTTTGCTTATTTTTGTTGGAAACGATCTCGTTTTGACTATTTTTTTCACGAAATGAGAACGTTACCGTTTTGTACATTTTTTCGAAAGCAGTAAAGTTTTTTATGTTCTTTTTGTGGAAACGTAGAATAGCCATAAAATATTCCTAGTTATCCTACACTGGTACACTAAAGAGGACGAGGTAACTATGTAATTGACAATTTTCCATGTGTTGGTATTCAAATGTTTCAGGTTTTCCATTGGTTTTAAAACATAAATATGGTTTATAAATAATAACGTGTGATGTGTTTTTTGCATGAAATAAAACAATTACACTCCCACTTTTCTAATATACTTATCTTTCATTAGTGCCCGGTGATCCGCAAGATGTTAAAGTTACTCCTATTAACTCGACAACAATTAAAGTTAATTGGAAACCGCCACAAACAAGGGACAGGAACGGTATTATATTAGGATATCACGTACACGTGCAAGAAACTAAAGAAGAGGTTAGCACTTTTATTCAATCGCTGTTCGTTGTATCGTTCAATGTAATGTTTTATTTGTAGGGAAAGAGTTTCTTCAACGAACCGATGAAATTCGACGTATTCGGCGACTCTCTTCTCGAACTCAACGTGACTGGCTTGCAACCGGACACCATGTACTCCATTCAAGTGGCGGCCCTTACCAGGAAAGGAGACGGCGACAGAAGCGCTCCAGTAAATGTTAGAACACCCGGAGGTGTTCCTAATCGACCAGCTTTGAACCTGAAGTATGTTAACATTTACTAATACTTCGTAATTTCTATTAACTATTTTTATTTTAGAATAATTGAGCGTGAACCCACAATTACGATCGAATTAGAGTGGTCTAGACCGTCTCAAACTTACGGAGAATTGAAAGGTTATCGATTGAGATACGGGGTTAAAGAACAACTATTAAAAGATGTTCCTCTTAAAGGTATATTACTTGCTTTATTCTCTAATATATACAACTAAATTACAGTTATTTTAATTGCAGGAACGCACACTAGTTACCGAATTAACGATCTAGATCGTGGTGTTGATTACGAGTTCAGAGTGGCTGGACAAAATCACATAGGAATAGGACAAGAGGCTATAAAATACTTGAAAACGCCCGAAGGTCGCCCCACAGGTCCACCTACCAATATAACTTACCACTTCCAAACGCCTGACGTTGTTTGTATATCCTGGAACCCACCGAGCAGAGAGCATCGCAACGGACAGATAATAAAATACGACATAGAATTCCAGAAAAAATCCGATCAAAATAACAAGATAATGCGAAACGTTTCGAATACGAAAGCAGTATTCACCAACTTAGAAGAGAACACCGAGTATGTGTTTCACGTTAAAGCCCACACGACTCCGGGCGCCGGCCCGAACAGTGAAAAGTACACAATACAAACCGAAAGAGACATCGGCAGGGCTCCTATGTCAGTCAAAGCCGTAGCTACGTCCGATTCCAGCGTGGAAGTTTGGTGGGAACCGGTTCCTTCCAGGAACAAAGTAATAGGCTACAAAATATTTTACACGATGACCGCGGTCGAAGACCTCGATGAATGGCAGCAGAAAACCGTGGGACTCACCGAATCGGCCGATTTGGTGAACCTCGAGAAATACGCCCAGTATGCCATAGCCGTGGCGGCTAGAATGAAAAACGGCCTCGGGCGATTATCTGAAAAGGAATTAGTTAAAGTGAAACCGGAAGACGTACCTCTAAATTTGAGAGCCCACGAAGTGACTACTCATTCGATGAACCTCTCGTGGACGCCGCCCATCAGACTGAATCCGATAAAGTACAAAATATCCTTTGACGCGATCAAAGAGTTCGTTGATTCCCAAGGAATTACGCAAACGCAGAATATACCTAAAGTGGAGATAAAATTAGACGCGGCCGTCAGATCGCACTTGATCAACGAATTGTCGCCTTTTACGACTTACAGCGTTAACGTTAGCGCCATACCGACCGATAATTCCTACAGACCTCCTACCAAGATTACGGTCACCACGCAAATGGCGGCTCCGCAACCGATGGTTAAACCGGATTTCTACGGCGTGGTCAACGGCGAAGAGATCCACGTTATCTTACCTCAAGCTTCGGAGGAGTACGGTCCTATTAGCCATTATTACTTAGTAGTAGTACCCGAGAACAAAATGACAATCCACAAAAACCCTGACCAATTTTTAACCGAAGAATTAAGGGAAAACGTCGATAAGATTCCGGACAATTCTGATCTTCCATACATAGCAGCTAAATTTCCTCAAAGGAATATACCCTATACATACCATTTAGGCACAGGAGAAAGTAACGACGGTTACGTTAATTACAAACTAGAACACGGTAAACGCTACAGGATATTCGTGAGAGCGGTGGTGGATACGCCTCAAAAACACCTATACACCAGCAGCCCGTTTTCGCAATTTCTCTCGTTAGATATGAGAGAAGTGCCACCCGGTGATCCCCCAAGGCGGCCGAATCCCAACACCGACATCATCAACGACGTTAAAGTCAGCTCTCAAGAAACCGAAGCGGACGTATTCAAGATAATCGGTCCCATTATAGCGGCTCTAGTAGTTTCCGTTGTCCTCGTTATCATCTTCATCATGCGAAAGCGAAGACAACCGTGCAAAACGCCCGATCAAACAGCCGTGACGAGGCCGCTGATCCAACCCGATCTCAACGCCAGCATCGCGCCCAGCGATCCCGTTGAAATGCGACGACTGAACTTCCAAACGCCCGCGATGATATCCCATCCTCCTATACACATTACTGAGCTGTCTAATCACATTGAAAGACTGAAAGCTAATGATAATATTAAATTCGCTCAGGAATACGAGAGTATAGAGCCGGGACAAACCTTCACCTGGGATCATTCCAACATGGAGGTGAACAAATCGAAGAACCGCTACGCCAACGTCATCGCCTACGACCACAGCAGGGTGATACTGCCGTTGGAAAACGGGGTGTTGGGTACGGATTACATAAACGCGAATTACTGCGACGGGTACAGGAAGCACAACGCCTACGTGGCCACGCAGGGCCCGCTGCCCGAGACGTTCGCCGACTTCTGGCGCATGTGCTGGGAGCTCAGATCCGCCGTTTTGGTCATGATGACCAAGCTCGAGGAGCGCACGCGGATCAAATGCGACCAGTACTGGCCCACGCGCGGCACCGAAACCTACGGCAGCATGCACGTCACCACCACCGAGGTCCAGGAACTGGCTACCTACTCCATTAGGTCTTTCCACATACAGAAGGACGGCCATCCGGATCGAAGGGAGATTAAACAGTTACAGTTCACCGCCTGGCCGGATCACGGGGTGCCCGATCATCCGGCGCCGTTCCTGCAGTTTCTGAGACGAGTGCGCAGCTTGAATCCGCCCGAAGCCGGACCTATTATCGTCCATTGTTCAGCAGGAGTTGGTCGAACAGGTAACTCAATTTACCAGCACTACTACAAACAAATATTATGTACTATTTTTACGGTTTTAGGTTGTTTCATTGTGATCGATTCGATGTTGGAGCGTCTACGCCACGAGAAAACCGTGGACATCTACGGACACGTTACCTGCCTTCGAGCGCAGCGTAATTACATGGTGCAAACCGAAGATCAATACATATTCATACACGATTCGCTGTTCGAGGCGTACGTTTGCGGTCTGACGGAGGTGCCGGCCAGGAATTTGCACTCGCATATCCAAAAACTGATGCAACTGGAGCCGGGCGAGAACATATCGGGAATGGAACACGAATTCAAGAAATTGAGCAACATTAAGACTGACTCCACGCGCTTCGCGACCGCTAACTTGCCTTGCAACAAGCACAAAAACCGTTTGGTACATATCTTGCCGTTCGAGAGCACCCGGGTGTGTTTGACGCCTTTGAGGAACGTCGAGGGCTCGGATTATATCAACGCTAGCTTCATCGATGGGTATAGATATAGGAAGGCTTACATTGCCACGCAAGGGCCCATGGCCGATACGACTGATGATTTGTGGAGGATGCTGTGGGAGCACAATTCCACTATTATCGTTATGCTGACGAAGCTTAAAGAAATGGGAAGGGTAAGTTGTTGTTAATACGCGTTTTCTGCATTCAAATCGTATTGTTTCATAGGAGAAATGCCACCAGTATTGGCCCAGCGAACGTTCGGTTCGTTATCAATGTTTCGTGGTTGATCCGATCGCAGAATACAACATGCCGCAGTACATACTCAGAGAATTCAAGGTGACCGACGCTAGAGACGGATCGTCGCGGACGATAAGGCAATTCCAGTTCACCGATTGGCCGGAACAAGGGGTTCCCAAATCCGGCGACGGTTTCATCGATTTTATCGGGCAGGTGCACAAAACCAAGGAGCAATTCGGCCAAGACGGTCCTATTACTGTACATTGCAGGTTAGTTGATGAATGGTTACCGTTTTGGATTTATTATTAACTTTATTTAATGATGTTTGTAGCGCTGGTGTTGGCAGAACTGGAGTGTTTATAACTCTGAGTATCGTCCTTGAAAGAATGCAATACGAAGGCGTTGTAGATGTTTTCCAGACGGCTAGAATATTGAGAACACAACGACCGGCTATGGTACAAACGGAGGTAAAAACTTTTCCAAAATTTATCTACAAAATCCAAGGAACTTCTATACAGGACGTTTCATTGGGAAAGGGCAATATTTTAACCCTATATAGAGGTCTCCTAGAGGATTACATGGGTCTTGCATCCTTAATAACCGAGTTATAGTGTTTTTTTGAAGTAAAAACATTTCTAAAATTTCCCTACAAAATCCAAGAAACTTCTATACAGGGTGTTTCATTGGAAAAGGGCAATATTTTAACCCTATGTAGAGGTTACTGGAGGTCTCTTAATAACCGAGTTACATATTTTGAATTTGACCAATTTTTTTTTATTTTTAGGATCAGTACCAGTTTTGCTATCGCGCTGCATTGGAGTACTTAGGATCGTTTGATCACTACACAAATTAATCAATACTCATTAAATCGTGCGTATGCATATTGCATACTCTTACTGCCAAATTGATGATGCGACACGGAACGAAACATTTAGAGCTGTATTTAAAGAAGCTGATTAGCGGATACAGAACGTAGAATTAGCGTGCAAATGTGTGTAAAATATGTGCCTAATGTATATGTGGAAAAAGAAATGTCAGAATTTATATTTATTTTGATCACGAGATGTTTAGCGCGTTCATTGTAATAAAAATGTTGCTCGCATGGAACTTTTCGTTTATACAGGGTGTCTCAAAGTTGACGCACATCTTTTCGGTTTATGAATAAAGAGAACAAAATAAGCGTAAACGAAAGTATAAAAATTTTGCGTTTTCTCTTTGGTTTCTGAGTTATTGATAAAAACAAGCATCTCAAATTCAATCTGGAAATGTTATTAAAATGAAGTAAGCTTAAATCGAATGACTGACGTAGGTTACTATGATGATTTTGAAAATTTATAATTAGTTCTGTCATTATTAGTGCCTATAGGTATAATGTCATACGGTCAATATCCTCACTCAATACCTTCACTTTGAACATATCAATGAATTCTCGATTCGATATTAACGTTCCTTTTTTCATTTTTAATAACGTTTTCCGATTGAATATTAGATTTTTGTTTTTATCAATAACTCCGAAACCAAAGCCCAAACGCAAAATTTGTATTCTTTCGTTTACGCTTATTTTGATCTCCTTTTTCATAAACCGAAAGAACGGGCATCAATTCTGAGACACTCTGTATACTACATGTGATTAGGTACAATTGATGCAATTCTTTCATATCGAAAAGGATTGGATTGTTCTAGAGGGTGCGGCAGATTGAGTGAACGAACTTAATTTAAAACGTTCCTCGTTAGGATATAAAATAATTGCTTAATAGAATTTAGAGAAGTGTGATGCTTTAATACTAAGGATTAAATAGTAAGTAATAAAATATAAGCGTGTGCAATGTGCTTCCCTTCCGTAGCAAATACCATTCGCACTTGTTTGACGCAAAGAGAAATTTCCTCGTTTCGTTTCGAATTGGATACGGATTTTATCAAAGTTGCATAAGACTGACTCGTTTAGAAACAAATAACTCGTAGAAATTTAATCATGTTAGAAGATATGTAAATCAAACCACCGAATTATTATACCAGATGTATTTGTAAAAATATATTCGAATCGTTTCGTGAAAATATACTGTAAGAAGTTGATTGTGGTTTTAGGAAAATGATGTCTATCTCAATCTGCCTTACGCTCTGCTGCAAATAGTGGAAATTTCCGGCATCTATTATTTATTTCATCGATTTTCTGTCATTTCTTCTTATAAAATCGTCGATTCTCGACAGGTTTTTGATATATTGTCTTTTCTTAAACATGTTATATGTTTGTCACGTTAGATTAATTGATAGTGAAGAGATTGAAGCATGTATATATTAATAGGGCATCTACATTATTATACATTTAAATACGTAATTTTTACTTCCGTTGGGTGGTTTTATATTTCAAAATTTAATGTTTGTATGCAGTGTGTTTTTAATAACATGCCAATACTGAAGGGGGTGATTCTTGGGCTGATTTTAAGAAAAAAAATCATATAAACCTATGTTTTTACTGTCATTTCCATACCACTTTAAATATTTTTATGAAATTTGGTGTTCACCGTTAAAGCATTAAAGAGCATTTCTTGGCGTAAAAACATTTTTTTTTATTTCCAATAGTTTTGTAGTTCCAAAAATTATTTTTGGAAGCACCGTTCAATTTAGAACAAATTTGATTTCTTGACTTTTTTTGGTACGACTTATCGTTTCGCATTAAAAAAAATACATTAGTCGCTGTGCTAAAATTAAAAAATTACATATTTTAGGTTTAGGGCATATGATCATATAAAGTTTTTTTCTTAAAATGGGTCCAAGAAACACACCCTTCAGTATTGGCATTTTATTAAAAAAACAAACGGTACTCATACTTTGAAATTAATATCTAATACTCTTCAGATATTGCTATGTTTCCTAATAACTGCCGTTGTTGAAAAAATAAATTAAAAGTATATACATATCTTTGTTTGGCAATAAGCAGTTACGGTTTTGTCAATTTAATAAAACAATCATTAAATTTTGAATGTAAAATTCACTTTCATGATGTATAAATTTTGCTTTTCTGGAATTGATAAAGCTAAATAAATATTATTTAGTCGAATTGTAGCTAAACTAAAGCAACATTTTAATTTAGTGCGAATACTTAATCCAGAAACGCAATTCTTATCCGGCATGTAATTGTCATAGAATATTTATTACTTTATGGTTTTCCTTATAAATACGACTTATTCTAGTTTCTTGCACCGAATTACTTAAATCGAACGTTCAGTTTGTTATAAACGCTCACTAAATTGTAAGAACTAGGATATGTCTCAGCAAGAAATTATATACTTATAACCGAGTCCATAGTGTAGTCGCAAAAATTCGAAAATATTAGCGCCCAAAACGAGGACATATTTTTAGAAAATGGAATAAAATCATTTACCGAATATTAAGCTAATATTTGTGAATATATAAGTATTTTTGCAATACTGTTATTACAATTTTAATTCTTCGAAATAGTATATTTTGAAGAAACGTTTTTTTAGAGTTGAAATTGTAGTAAAATGTACAGACGAGGTTATTCACAGATTGGGCATTAAAAAGCGAATAAATTTATGTTTGGACTTATTTACTTGGAGTGTCGATGAACATTAAATTTTATTGAGTGATAAAGAGCGGATATAATTGATAGAAATTGAGTGAATTAATGGGAATTAAATACACCTGTTTTAAAGAAACGAAAGCAAGGTGATGTGGTAAATTTAAATAAAACTACTGAAATACTTAAAAAACGAATATATTTAATATAACATTACAAACGATTTTGTTCGCTATTTTATTACCAATTAATTGGGTAGCTAAAAATATGCAATTTTATTATATATGCAATACCATTTCTAATCCATTGTGATATTTTTTATTTTGGATTATTTTTTACTCTAATTTTGATTATATTTTTTGTGAATAAACGATTTCGTTAGAGAAGCTCTCGTTTTATTTTTTCTAATAACACTAGTTTAAAGGTTTTGTGCAAAGAACTAGCATAATAGAAGTGATGTAAGGTAGACTGTGGCAAATCGGTTGTAAAATTTGAATAGTTCAAATTAAATTCTAAAATGTGGCTTTTTTTTCTCTTATTAGAAATGCTGATACCACATTAAATTCACAACTTCCTAAACTAAAGAATCGAGGTATTAAAAAGTTTTTTTGAAAAAGGAAGAACGATTTTACATATTTTTTAAAATGTTGACAATATGTTACATTTACCCCATGGTACGAGGTAAATGTAAAAAAAGGTTCTAAAGAGGCAATACAATTATATAGAAAAACATATGGGGCAATTACATATTGGGGTAAATACATATTGGGTTCCTCTAAAATTTGATATGCTGTTTATTTATTTATTGTAAAAAATAACAGAGCTACAAAATAATGAAGAAAAAATAAGAAACAAACCCTGTCTAATGCATAAAAGAGCTATAAAAATAATAAAAAACATTAACATAATAGGTAAAAATATTACATTTACCCCATTTTTACATTTGCCCCAGTCTACCTTACTCGTATTTTTGGTTAATGAACAAAACTTTGTAGAAATAAAAAATGTAGCACGTTATATAACCGAAATATTCTAATAAAATCATTTGTTTTACTGTAATTTAATATCTATACAATGCATGAAAAAAAATACAAATTAGAAATGCTAAGTATAAAATTTTTGTTTTTTATATGAGTGGGTCGTTTTCGCATATTAATGTTCAACAATTTTCTCCTTGCACACCATTTAGAACACTTCCGAACCATTTAGAACTCTCCAGAAACATTTAGAACTATCTAAAATCTAAAACAATTTAGAATGCTCCATCAGAAACATTTAGAATGCTCCGGAATCGTTGAGAATTGTCTAGAACCATTTAGAACACTCCAGAATCATTTAGAACTATTTAGAACGCTACAGAATAATTTAGAACTGTCTAGAATCATTTAGAACGCTCAAGGACTATTCAGAATTGTCTACAACAATCTAGACCGATCTAGAATCATTTAAAACTGTCTCGAACTAAAGATTTTGACTAATTTTTGAAATACAAGATTTTTTCGTAAGTGCCTACAGAAAATGCATGTGGTATGGAAACAATCGTTGCACAAAAACCTGCAATTATTAATGATTTTATTCCTCTTTTTTATCCTCTACAATGAACAAAAATTGAAAGGAAATTATTTAAAATTGAGTTTGTATAAATTACATTAGGTATCCACATCGTTAAATGATTACCTAGCTATAAAAATACCTGAAGAATTTCTGGAAATACCCTCTGTTTATCTTTTTAGAAGTTGAATGGATTAATCTGAAACCAAAAAATAAATGCAATATTAATTAAAAATCTACCTACATGCACCAAAATTACTACTGCTAATTGGGTAGTTAATTCCTTAATTGGTCCATACCTAAAATTCCCCGAAAATAAACGCAAAAGTTACGTAAACTGAATTATTCAAAAGGAATTTTCATTTCCACCTGTTGAAGTAACGCAATTAGCGAAATTCGCAGAATCAAGCGATGGCGTTCGGCGGATACCGGCAAACCGGAGAAGCGGAAAAGCGGAAGTCGCGCATTAATGGGCCAGTAATAAAGCAATCTGCAGACGGCCGTCTGCACTCTGCAGTCGCTTTATTAAATTATCGAATCCAGAAAAAAATATCTGCCATTAAACGAGTAAGCGCTGCGTTTCCTCGTTCGATTTTTATTGGAAGCAATCTAAAAATTCGATCATCTAACTATAGTCGCACGGGATTTTATTCCCTCCTAAAAATCCGCCGCGCCAGCACCTCCGCCTCCAAATGGAATATGTATGTAAATATATACAACCGAATTGAAAAAACTTTCCTTTCAAGAGCATACCCACATCCTCGAAGAAAGTTACGTACAGAATTTCGCGCTCCGTTTAATCGGATTCGCGAAAGTTGGAGAGCGGAGAGCGGCGCGGCACACAATATAACTCACATGCCGAAAGTTTATGGAACTCGTACTCCGAAAAGTATCGGCAGGGCAGCCGCTTCCGACCCCCCGTTGCCCCGTTTCACCGTTCTTGTTGCGTTGGGGTGGCTTTAATAGCGAGACTCTTGAGCTCTCCCCCATCACAGGAACGCCGCACACACACGTACTTACTCACAGGTTCAAGGAAAAGTCTATAAGTTTCCTGACTTCCACGTTATATTTGATTAATGCGTAAATTTATACTGTAAATAAGTAAGATATTGCATGTGGATAGAGTATTAAACCTAAATATAATTTTAGTGTTTAGTTTGAGCTTCTCTTCACTCTTTTTTCGTTCCTATTTTGAGCATTATCATCAATTTATCAATCTGCTAGAAGAAGTTCATTTGTATTCAATTAACCTCTCTGGACGTTCATTTGGAATGACGGTAGTGCGGTAATTAGGATTGAAATACAAAACAGACTTTTGTCTCAATTAATTAAAGGCGGGCTGTCAGCGCTCCTCCCGAAGACGATTAATATCAATCTCGCGACATCTCGAGGATGTTCAATGTCGAAGGGAAAGCAGACGTATTCCGGGGATTAGTCCCAGAAATCGGGAACGAAATTACAAGTAATTAATTAAAATATAAAAGAAATATTCAGGGTAGTAATAAGAAAATTTAATAACCAATGTTAGGAAGCATCTACTTAACGGTCCTATTAATGGTTAAAGCAAAACTAATAGAAATTTTAAACGAATTCCGTTATCTACGCAAGCGAGTATACAATATAAGCAGTTAGAAAAGAAAATCCCCGAGCCGAACGAAACGACCCAATCCCCTTTCCTCATCGGCATCCGAATAAAACTCAAAAACAGAAAATAACTTTCCCCGAAAGCTCCCCTCGGGGACCTCGCGCCAGAGATTCGAGAGACGAAAAAAGAAATTGGAGGATTTTCAATTTTCCGGCAAACATGTTGTGGAATATGAGTTGTTGTGCACGCGGAGATGCCCCGACCTAACAGAGCCACTTCTATTAACATCAAAGCGGAAATGGTAATGTGTGCTCGTATAAGAAAAGAGGGCAAGGGCGCGTCGGGACGGGGGCGGCGGGCGCGCCGGGCGGCGAGGGAGCGCGCGATGGGGCAGACCGAATAATATAGGCACACGGATGGTGGCGGATGCGAAGATGTTTCGTTCAACGGCAATAAGTCTCTGTTCTCTAGAGGAAAAACTAAAGATGGGTTTATAGTACAGGAAAATTTTTTCAACACCGCTTTATTATTATCTACATATCATCTACGTATCTATCTATTATCTACGTATCATCTATGATAATAAAAGAATTATCTATCGTATAACCTACTCTAGTCCTACTAACTTTAACTGGTTAAACTTATAGGTTTATTCTTTATTCTGTAGGTTTCGGCAATTGAAACATTAATTAAACGTGTGTTTAAAAAAAGTATACAATACTTCTAAATTTTAGTAGATAAATATATGCATATTTCCGGTGGTGGCGGAAGCCGGAAAACGCTATTCCTGCGGC